CCGACCGCGCGTGCCTCGAATGCAAGAAGGCCTAGCCGGTTAAATTTATCGTTTCCCGATGTCCACCTCTAGGAGACGTCCGTACTTCTGTTTATACGCCACCCCCCTGCCGCCCCGGTCACCGGTCCAACTCGCTCGCCTTTCTTTCGGGATGGCCGGTGTGCCACTGTGTGCCACACACACAATGGTGTTGACAGGGTCGCCCTGCATGGTCAGCACGCCACGGCACTAGTGCTGCCAAAATGAGACCAATATGGACAGCTTTGGAAAGTCCCAAGTCCAAATTTTTGATTACGATGAGATAGTTTTTTTTCTTTTTCAAATTCTTGGTCTTTAATAAGATAGCTGCGTAGTTTTGGAAAGTCTTGGTTCAACAATGTACACCCTTAAAACCTTACGAAGTGTTTTGGGCATACATACGTACAAACTAATTACTTTGTTATACGAAGAAAGAGTTCGTCAATTACGAAGTATTTTCTTTCTAAGCTTTTGCTCAAAATACTTTGTTGTAACAAACTGCTTTGCTTTGTAAGGCTTGAAATAGTTTGTAAGGTTTTCTCAGTGTATGCCAGGTTTGTCAAATTCTTGCATCACTCTCAAAACCATCTACGAAGAGTATAGCACTTGAAAACTCAACCGGGTATGCTTGCGCAATGGTGGTCCTAGTGTCATACGTGGAAACTGAGAAGATCATTTGCAGCCCAAGCCATTTCAAGTCGAGTAGCAGACACTAGATAGGCACAGTGGAGAGCTCATTGCAGCGCATTATGCAAGACTTGGCAATGACTTATATCGACACGTCCTTAGGGCGACTCGTAGGTACAAGGACTTTCAAATAAATTGTTGCAATACTCTTCTCTACAGATAAGAAAACTGCAGCATCTGAAATAATTTTTTTCGTAGCCCTGGCAAAATCAATTTATCATCTGCTAGTATAACGGTGAAAGCGTCCTTTTTGATGAAAAGTCTCAGACCAAGTTTTGAACTATTGAGCCCTGTGTTGGACGAGCTGGGGACCCCAAAAATCGGACATTTGAATGTGAACAGCACTACAGTGTCGCTGTCCAGGCCGTTTGACGCTGAATTTATACCACCGTCCCATTTATAGCCGCCGACCCCTTGATCCGGCGTGCCGTGCCCTGCTTGGCTCTGCTATGCTCGGATTTCATTTATTGATTTCGCTCGGGGTCGCCGTGGCCGAAGGGGGGCATTGTGGCAACGTCCAGGAAAGATCGGAAAAAGAAAAAAAGCACGTCCCCAGCCATAAACCTGAGAGTAAAAGTTAACGGTGCGACGCAAGGAGTGTGCGCGCAGAACAACTAGAGTGAATTTGCAAATGCTGGAAGGGAGCTAGTGCTCCCATTCGAAACTGTTCATAGTTTCAGCAGTAGAGTGGATCTCAACTAACTGAGATGGCCAAGTACTTCTTTTGGCTAAGTGTAGTGGGAGCCTCTTCAACCCCATCGCAAGGAACACCGAGTGCGGAGCTCGGGCAATGGACTCAGCGCACCTAACCGTCAAATTTAACTGCAGTGAAGCCCAGAGGCTTTGAAGCGAAATGAAACAAGATCCAGAAACGTGTTTGTTCGAGTTTTGAGATCAAGCCCGATATTTTTTGAGCCTTTGGAAAAAAAAATGTCAAACGAAAACGGTCAACGTTGTTATTCTTGGAGCGAAAGTGTCCCGGCGATCCCTTTGCGCGGTGCGTCCTTCGGCCTTTTGTTCCCTTGCGGTGGGTCAGGGCTGGACCCTTCTTGAGGTGCGCTGGGATCAGCCAGAGCTGTCTCGCTCACGCACACAGGCACAGCCCCACACACACACACACACCACACACACACACACACACACACACACACCACACACACACACACGGATCTTTATGAAAAACGGCCTTTCTTTTGTGGCCGGTTTGCGTCACCGAACGGGCAGGTCACACTACGTACGGACGCACGGCTACTCAAGGTTTCGGGGTCATCCTACCGCACCTCCGTCGCCCGTACACTGTGTCGCCACCGCAAAGACTCGGTACCCTGCCACAAACGTGGACCCTTGTGCATCAGCAGAAGTAGCCGACACCGGACCGAAGTGCCGTCGGGCTATGCCATTTGTGCGTCATAGCAGGCCCGATTTGTACTAAAGCAACTCGTTTTGAGGTTATGTTGACCGACTTCCCTGCTCTACCCGGGAAACCGCTCCCCAAATTCAGATCCCCAACGGCCGCAGAATGAGGCCCCATCGGAAACAAGCCTCTGATGTCACTTCACCTGGCTGCAGAAACAAAGTCGCCCCACGCAGGTTTGCTTCGGCGGCCCCATCGGCCCCTTCGGCCGCCTGCCGAGACCACCCGAAGAGGCGAGCCGAACGGGCAGTGGCCGCGACGGAAGTGGCCGATGTTGAACGGAACACGAGCGGAGCGCGGCACGGCACGGCACGGCCAGCCGGCCAGGGGCACAGGCCGGCAGCTGTATCTGAACCATTACGCAGTGCCGCCGAGCTGCCCCGTGGCCCCCTTCCAGACCTGCAGTTCCGAGGATGAACTTAGAGGGACCTGTCTACGACCGCCAGGACATCCAAGGGTTACGGCCGCATCTTGCTTATCGAAGAGCAGTCTACAAGACAAAGGGGGCTCGCCACGTCTCAATTTGCAACCAGCGTCGGGGAAAGCAGAGGCCCTTATCAGATCCGCATTCGCTTTGTTTGGCCCCCCGATTTGATATTCAAATACCCTGCCAGTCATTACGCGATGCGTTTTGGCGCCAACACCATGGAGTCCGACTGACCGGTCCTGTCGAGGGGCAGACGTTCGACTCTCGTCGAAGTCCCCCGAGTCCACTCCTCGGTCGGGCTCAGGCCAAGACTCGGGCCAAGGCTCAGGCTCCGTGATGGAGATATCGGGCCTCGGCTATCGGCCCATCGGCCGCATCGCAGTGGGCCTTTAAAAATTACGGTTTCGTCTGAAATATGCGGCCCAACACTTTGACGGTCGATGCGGTGACAGCGAGTCGTTAGTCCGGCAAGGGCGCAGGCGGCGCAGGCATGGCGACATGCATAAGGAAGGGGACCAATTTGACGGCCGTCCAAAATTGAAAAGACTCTGTTTCAAACCGTTGCTCTAAGTCCACTCGCACCTCAGAAAAAAACAACAGCAAAACAACAACAAAAAACAATGTTTAAAAAGTAAAACAAATATAAAAACTGTTGAAAAAAATGAAACTGTCAAAAAATGTGCAAATATACTCGGGGAAACGGGGCTCCTTGTATCGCGCCTCGGTGACTAAGCGGAGAGGACTCGCAGAGCGGCGCGTGTGCCTGTTATTATGCATTTTTGTGGCGGTCATATCAAACTCGACTGCAACCGGCTCCCCCCCTCCCCCCCACAAGGCTTGTTCGCCGACAGTCACTCCGTCAGTCACGTCCCCTAACCTTGCTCAACGGGTCTCGTCCGGCCGAGGCAGGCTCAGCGGCACTGCCGAGGAAGAAGGGGTGATCTGGATGACGGGGTGATCTGGACAACGAGGTGGGGGTGATCTGGATGACGGTGTGATCTGGACGACGGTGTGATCTGGATGACGGTGTGATCTGGACGACGGTGTGATCTGGATGACGGGGTGATCTGGATGACGGGGTGATCTGGATGACGGGGTGATCTGGACGACGGTGTGATCTGGATGACGGGGTGATCTGGATGACGGGGTGATCTGGATGACGGGGTGATCTGGACGACGGTGTGATCTGGATGACGGTGTGATCTGGATGACGGGGTGATCTGGATGACGGGGTGATCTGGATGACGGGCTGATCTGGATGACGGTGTGATCTGGACGACGGTGTGATCTGGATGACGGTGTGATCTCTCCAGCGAGGCTCTGCGGGTCCAGAACAGTCGGGCGGACGGCGGGGCGGCCCGGTGCAGCTGGAAGAGTGGCTCGCTCCGCCTCGCCCGCCCCAACAGGGGTGGCTTGCAGCCTCCGCCGCCAGGGCGCGCCACCTCCTTCGGACTGCCTGGCGAGGGGGCCGGCAGGGCCTGCAGACCGCCACAGCCCGCACCGCCAGACAGAGCAAACAACATCGCAAATATGGAGAGGGGGCTGGCTGACCCGTAGGACGGGCTCCCACTTGCAAAAATAGAACGTCCAGGGTGGGTAGAGCGTAGCTGCACCAGCGTCCAGCCAACCGTTCCACGCACGCGCAACAGGCAGACCGTCCTCGGAGGCAAACCTCTGGCACAAGGGGCCATCTTCGCCAGGTCCGTTCCCTTCCAGTGTCTACGCAGCTATAGGGGTTGATGCAATTGGTGCAGCCACTACCCCGCACTCGACCCTCTTGGCACTTGAAGTCGCAAAGCGACAGCCGCGCGCCGAGCTCACAGCCTAGACCTGCCTGGCCGTGCCTGGCTCGCAATGACGAGATGATGAGGATTAAGCACTAGAATTTGAAAACTCGTCTGGGCGAGTGCAGGGTGCAGGCCCTGGTGCAGGCCCTGGTGCAGGCGGCCCTGCGCTTTTATCTCATCCTTGGTACACTTCGTATCATCAAGGGGCAAGGGGATTATGTACCCCCCGGCCGGCCGGCCAGGCTGGCCAGGTAGTCGGCAAGGGGTGGCGTTGGGGGGCAGGCTGCAGCGAAAGTGTGGGGGGAGGGGGCAAGCCTCACGTGTGAGTGTGTGAGGCAGGGTTCGTGCCGGAGGGGAGGGGGGGGCGTTAAGCCGAGAGAGAGAGAGAGAGAGAGAGAGAGAGAGAGAGAGAGAGAGAGAGAGAGAGGGGGGGCAGACGAAGACGGGCATGGAGCGGGTGCGAGAGAGCGAGCGGAGCCGCCACGCGAGCCGAGCCGACACGCGCCCGCAGGCCATTGTCGGCGGGCTTCGGGCCTTCGGGCTGACTTCGGGTGTGCGGGCGCGCGCCGAGCCGAAGCCGAGCCGAACGCGGGACGGCGGTTGGACGGAGTCTGCCTTCCCTCTCCCTTCCCTCGCGCCGCGCCAGCGCCGCGCCAGTCCCCAACCAGAGCCCAAGCGCGCAGCACGTCTCCGCTCCTGCACCCCTCGCTCCGGTCGTCGCCGTCGACGTCGTCGTCCTCGAGTTCGCCGGCCTTTGGCGGCCTTTGGATTACCAGTGCAGTGTGTGTTATGCCCCAGTGATTCGCTCCGTCCTCGCCATGTCGACCGCCGTGATGACGATGCACCGGCCCATGCCCGCCAAGAAGATGGTGATGATGCTGAGCCCCGACGTGCAGCCCCAGATCGTGCAGCCGAGCAACGGCGCGTGTGTCATCGTGTCCAACAGCTACCCCGGCAGCCACCCCGGCAGCCCGCCGCAGTTCACCAACCTGGACGCGCCGGCCAACAACAACAACGCCAAGGCCAAGAACAACAACGGGTGCGGCGCGCTCAACAAGGTGAGCCGTGTGGGTGGCGGCGCGGTGCAGAAGGCCGCCCCGCGGACGACCGTGGTGGTGGCGGCGTCGCCGGCCGGCGCGGCCGCGGACGCGCTGCGCTGCAAGCGGCGCATCCAGTTCTCGCAGCCCGGCGCCGCGACCGCGCACGCCGCCCCCGGCGCCTTCAACGGCCACCAGACCGCCTCCGTGGCCAGGCGCAACGCGCGCGAGCGTAACCGCGTCAAGCAGGTCAACAACGGCTTCGCGACGCTGCGCGCGCACATCCCGCCCGCCATCGCCGCCGCGCTGCAGGAGGCCATGGGCACCGCGGAGAGGCCCACCTCGGCCCGCGCCACCGCCAAGGAGAAGGAGGCCGCCAAGAAGCTCAGCAAGGTGGAGACCCTGCGCATGGCCGTCGAGTACATCCGCAGCCTGCAGGCCCTGCTGCAGGAGTCCGGCAGCGAGAACGCCGCCCCCACCGTCAAGACCGAGACCGCCGACGTCATGTCAGGTAAGCGCCGACACACACACACGCACACACACGCACACACACGAGCGTACTCGCATCTTGCGTCTCTCGGCCACTCGACGCTTTTTGCGCAACTCGGATGGCCCCAGATCGCGATCACTGAATGAGTCGCCGGGAGTCGAACCGCGCACATCCTGGCTGGTCCAGAGCCTGGCTGCCTTCGGCTGCCTGGGACCGAAGGACCGGCCGGGAGGCTGGCTGGCTGCCTGCCTGGCTGGCTGCATGGGCGGGGCGGAGGGGACGGACCCGCGAAGAATGAGCCAGGTTTCAGGCTTCACAGAACTTTAGGGTCTTCTGCTACCTGCGCCGCTTTTTCATCTCACACACGCACACACACACACACACTCGCAGTGCAGCAGGGCTCCCAGAGCGCTGCAGTAGTAAAGCGGCTCTGCACACAAGTCCTTTTTTTACGGTTCCCACATCGCGTAAATCTGTTCTCGTTGGCCAGAAGTAGGGTAACTCGTCTAACTCTGCGTTCCGCCTTCCCTTCCAGACTCGCCCCACGGCGGCCACGGCTTGGACGCGGACTACGAGGCGGCGCTGGCCCTGTCGCACTACAGCATGGCGGCCGAGTCCTCGTCGCCGCCGACCTCGGGGATGCCAACGCACGCCGTCAGCACCGCCTTCGGCCACCACCACCACCACCAGCCGCACTTCGTGTCCATGTCGCCGCCGTGCTCGGACGCGGGGTCCGCCGGGTCGCCGACGCCGTCCTACGTGTCCGACGGGTCCGTGGGGGCCTCGTCGACGGGCTACGCCACCTTCGTGCCCGTCGTGTGCAGGCCCACCACCCTGACGGTGCACTCGCCCGCCACGCCGCCAGACTCGCAGGCCTACGAGCCCATGAGCCCCGAGGACGAGGAGCTGCTGGACGTGATATCCTGGTGGCAGCAGAGCAACTGAGCATGTGGTGAGTACCTTATCCATTTGGCGCTAGCCGAACTTGATTCGGCCGAACCCCGCCCCGCGTTGCGAGATGTCCCAAATGAGCCGAGTGCCAAGTCGTAAGTGCCGCGCCGCCTGCCCCGCTTGCCTACCGGTTCTCGGGGTGCGCGGCGCACAGTGGGCCAGAGGACCGGTGGAGGCGGCCGAAACGCTAGACGCGTTTTGAGCTGCAGAGTCGCTAAATGGGACTCGAACCGAACGTGTGACCCCACCAATGGATTCCTCGTTCGGAGAGCAATCCATTGGTGGGGTCACACGTTCGGTTCGAGTCCTGTTTAGCGACTCTGGAGCTCAAAACGCGTCTAGGATTTGGCCGCCTCCACCGGTCTTCTGGCCCACTGTGCGGCGGTCAGATAGGGTTGCCGATCGGCAGTCGCGATCGCCACCGGAAGAGTCGTCTGGGACCTAACGGGTGAATCACGTCCGCCGAGCCACGCGGTGCACCGCCTGGGGTTTGTCAATACTGAATTACCATTGAAAGTTTCTGCGATGTGTTCATTGAGCCGAGGCGGCTGCTGTGGTTGCCGGGGGCGCTGCGAGGAACGGGTTTTGCAGCTTCTGCATCGCACTTGCTCTCTCGCGCATATATATACATACCCACACGATAACAATCACGTGTGTGTGTGTGTGTGTGTGTGCGTGTGTGCAAATGTATATTGCAGGATTGCGCGTTTGTCGCTAGACGGCGCGTTGAACGGACTCTCGTAGTCTCATCCCCGCTTGGAATACTGCAATCCCCTTTCTCTGGACGCAACGCCGCCGCTCCTGTGAGCAGTGTGTGTGTGTGTGTGTGTGTGTGTGTGTGTGTGTGTGTGTGTGTGTTATTGCAGTGTAGTCTACGAACTTAACGACTACACACTTTACCCCACTCGGTGACCTACTAAAAAGTGAAATGCGAGTTTTAAAATCCCGCGCGCCCCCCTCCGTCGCCATAGAACTCAAAATAATAAAAATCGCGTTCGCGTTATATGGAGCAGTTCGGCAAGGGACACACACACACACACACACACACACACACACACACACAATGACGACTTGCATTGTTCGGAGAATAGCGGCGAAAGTAAAAGCAAAGCAAAAGGCGCATTAATGGTTGCCTATGTGGACAGGGGTCTAAGGAGAGTGTGAGTGTGTGCGTGTGTGTGTGTGTGTGTGAGAGACGGAGGAGGGGGGAGGGGGGATGGAGGAATTCGTCCAGAAATGCAGCATGCGTCCGTTTCCGGCTCCCCGTATGACTTTGGCGCACGTTCCGCGAACGGTCACGCACACCCGGTGTATTATTAGCCTCACCCTTTTTTTTATTTTTTTCATTTTCCGATTCCTTTCCCCGCCACTAGTTGAGTGCGTAGTGAGGCCCCGCGAAGGGAAACAAAACCGAGGGTCAAGGGACTGGCCGCGTCGGTTAGCGGCGAATGGCCACTATAAACCGCGCGGCGGGGAAAAAAAATCCCACGCAATGAAAGATTCGTCCAACGGTCGCCGCCCGATTTTTCTCACTTCACTTCATTGATATTCTTGACCGTTCCCGATTTGCCTAAAGGTCGCTCCCTTTTGCCCGAGGCTCGCCTCCAGTGCGGTGCCAGTGCGGTGCCAGCGCGGTGCCCTTGCCGGTTTGTTTTCGTTCTCCAAAGGCGCGCAACAGGATGTGTCTTACTCGGCCGTGACTCTGATACAGATAGCCAGGGGCCGTGAAGATGACGCAAAGTCGTTGCCCCAGCGTTCGATGTATCGAAGTCACTGCCTTCCCAGAGTAACAGTTCCCCCCTTTTTTTGTCGTGTTCGCATTGAAAACGGTCCACATTTCCCGCACCGGTCAGAGGTTAGCATTTCGACACCTGTAAGGAAAAGGCACGCAGTAGCGGCCGCGCGATCCAAAAGGCGCTCAGTTGCGGCCCTGCGATCTGAAAGGCACGCAGTTTGCCGCGCGCGATCCAAAAGGCACTCAGTTTGCTCCGCGCGATCCAAAAGACACGCAGTTTATGGCTGGCGGCCGGCAAACTGCGTGTCTTTTGGATCGCGCGGGGCAAACTGAGTGCCTTTTGGATCGCGCGCGGCAAACTGCGTGCCTTTCAGATCGCAGGGCCGCAACTGAGCGCCTTTTGGATCGCGCGGCCGCTACTGCGTGCCTTTTCCTTACAGGTGTCGATTTGCATAACGGACAGTCCCACGGATCGTTGCCGTTTCGATTTTTCCCGATTTTGCATTCGGACGAGTGGCGACCCTACGCAGCGGCAGCGCGAGGGCCGCCGACGTCCTCGTCTAGGTGTTATCGGGGGCCTTCCGGCGGCCTGGAGATTACGCACTGCGTCTGCGCGTCCGCGCCGCGTCCGCGCGCTGGCCCCGTCAATGTGGGTACTTGTTGACGACGAGTCCCCGTCGACGCCCCCTTCGCTGGAAACCTGGGCGAGCCTCGCGCGGGGCCGCCGGGGGCCGCCGGGGGCCGCCGGGGGCCGCCAGGTACGATAGAGCCGCTTGGCTGGCTCTGCGCGTTAGTGTACAGTCGCGGTCAAAACGCGCGCCCCACCGTGGGCCAGAAGACCGGCAGAGGCAGCCAAAACTCTAGAAGCGTTTCGAGCTCCAGAGTCGCTAAATGGGACTACTGTTTTGGTCGCCTCCGCCGGTCTTCTGGCCCACTGTGAGACGCGGCGGTTGACTAACTGTCGCACAGGGGACGCCTAGGCACGGCCGGTCTAGGGTGGGTGGGAAATCTTGGGTCGCCGGCTTAGGAGGGGGCATCTTTGCGCGCACAATGCGAAAAGGGGGGGGGATTTCTCATCCTGATCGGTATCCCTCCGTATCCCGTCTCATCCCCTGGAGTCCGCTGGAGTCTCTGAACCCCTGGGCCGCCGGCCGAAATCATCATCCCTTGGCAACGTCCCCCTCCAGGCAATAACAATGCCTCCAGTGATTACCTACCCCCTCCCGACCCTCCCCGCCATGGAGCGGGCACCTCTGAGGTGTTTACCATACGGTGCGCTAAGCTAGACCCGCGCCATCACCAAATTGAAATTATAAAAAAGAAGGTTCAGCGGAATAAAATAACAGAAAGCTTGATAATTAGACGCGGGTCTCTAGCGCGCGGAAGTCGGCGGTTGGCAGGTTGGCGATAAATAATTTTGAGACGCCCAGGGAAGGGGAGGAAGGGGCGGGGATGCCATCGTTCAATATGACGTAAGAAATTCATCTTGCAGTGTGCGGCCGAGCCGCGGCACTGCGTTGAAATCATCATCAATGGCATTTCACAAAAGCGCGCGGAGGGAACCCGTCGGGAGGGGGGATCCGAAAAGACGAGGGGAAATAAAGTTTGGCTATTCTTGTGCTGAATGCCTACGGGGACATTCCCAAAAATGTTACTCATCCGGGTGTCCCACTGGTGCCCCACTGGTGTCCCACTGGTGTCCCGGAGCATGAAAGCTCACCTTTGTGTTGTCTTTGGGGCGCAACGAGGCAACACCAGTGCGACCTTTGGAAACGCTCCGAATCCGTCTTTCTGGGAGAGGGTTTAATCCGTAACCGCACCAGTGCGGCGGTTGAGGCAATGTCAACAATCTTCTGCCGAGTATCAGAGTCTTGCCGAGCTTGTCGCACCCCTCGATGACCCTCCTCGCGAATGTCGTCACGAACTGCTTTCTTAACGGAAAACTGGTTTCTTAACGGAAAAACGGCGGCCGCTCTTCGAACGCCAGGCCAGTTAGTGGCCGAGGCATCGTTAGGCGAACCAATCTGATCCGCGCTCGGCAAAATGACTGACAACTTGTTCTCTCTTTGCGTCGCTTCGCATTCTGCTGTCCCTGACCGAAGTCGTTCTTTCTCGCTGTTTCAGATAGTGTCTCCGTCCGCTGCGAATTCCTGTTCCGTGCTCGTCCGCGGAACGCGTCCCGTGCGCAGTCCGCCGGCCATTCCAGGAGCACCTCAAAACCATTTGCGACAAAACAACAAGTGCCTTTACTGCTGCTGCCTCCTCTTTATTAAACTCTAATTTTTAATACTTTTGTTGGCTGTTAAGAGCAATCTTTGTTACGCTTGGGATTTGAGAACAATTTGGACCATGCCGCGTGTTTTGGCGGGTGGCTTTTTCTTTTCAGTGTAATCCCCCTTTACGTTTAGAGACTTCCAAAGTGCCTTTGAGAAACGACCGGCCTTCCGCTCGGTGCCTTATAGTTGGAGGCGGCGACAGCGACTGGGTTATGGCTCCTAGAAATTGGATCTTGCCGGCCAGAGAAAGAGTGAGACGGCAGCCACGAAAGCTTCCTCGGCGGGAGCGGTTCAATCCCCTCACGCGCACGCCCGTGCCGCGGCCTGGCCGGATGGCCTGCTTGCCTCACGCGCGTGTTGCGTGACCGCACGCTCCCGCCAAGGTCAACCTTTCGCACGGAGCCAAATCTCGAGACAGTTTTTTTCCGTTCTGGGTCATCACCACCTTACCTAGTCCCTGCGCCGCCCCGCAACATCGCCGCAATCGAAATCGACTCAGTGGAAAGTTACCTGCAGTAACCGAGAATGACAATGTTAGACTTTATGAGCGCCGTAGTTTTCAAGGGCCGCCTGCAATTGCCTATTGCATTGCCTACAACGGCGCCTCCAAGAGACTTCCCTCTTGCCTACCCAGTGACAAACATCGCCTTAAGACATTATTTTTGGAGATAGAGATTTAGCTTGTAAATTGTTTTGTTTACAAATTAAGTTGTTCGTGTACAAATCAATCAAGTTGATAAATGAATATAGACTTTAGAACTGTTAAATCTAGTCAAGAATTTCTCGTCTGTATATCTGTTTGTAAATTGTGTAGATACAAACGTGGGAGTGAAGTGCAATGTTTTTTCTTTGCACTGTTTGGTACAATTCGTACCAAGCTTTGACAATTTTCTTATTGAACTCGCCTGTTCTCAAAACAATCGTGTTTCTGTTAGGTTGAATATTTTTGCGGCTTGTCGGCTTTGTGATTGAAGCCAGAAAACTGCCTATTGCATATGGAATATATATTTTTATAGCTATGTTTACCATTGTTGCCATATAAATTGTTTGATCTTTTATTCGAGCCGTACGTTCCTGGCTGCGAGCAAAATCATCGTCTGTCAACTAAAACTTGCAAACCTTGACATGTGTCATCTGCATTATCAGTCTCTTGGATTCTGAGTAACTTGTGATATTGTGAATCTCATGTTATGTGCGTTTTGTTTCAAGGACACAGCACCATAACATAGCGTACCGCGTAGTGAGGGTGTGACAGCCCCATTGTTTGTATTTTGTATTTTTATACATCGAATTATTGTTACATATTTAAATACAATGAATTGCTATAAATGAACTTTGTCCCCTCTGATTTTACCCTTTCTCCGGATAAGACAAAACGTTAAAAGGAAGGTAAAAGAGAGGGTGGTGTCCGAGGGACCTCACCCTACCTTACCAAGGAAAGCACGTTCCAACACCAATATAGAGACCAAGGGGTTCATTGGCCCAGGATACGAACCGCTTAGAGTTGCAAGGAAACGACGTGCTCCAAGTGCAAGCGCTGACCTTGGAGGGTTCCTGTGCAGTGTACCACCCACCGGTCACTGATAGGGCGCACGCCCACTGCACGCCCCTGGCCAACGAACTCTCTGCCACTGACCCACTTATCACACGAGGTTCCTGGCAATGCAACACGAAGGAAGTACCGCACACAGCATGCCTCAGGAAGCGATTATGATAGCTCAAAGTCCGACCTTGAACCTCATACCGCTAGTTTTTCTTCGCGTTGAAGTAAAAATGGTATTAAAATCTGACCGTTGACGTGGAGCATTTCAAATTTTGAAAGACCGAGTGGGACAGTCCCAACCAAGCATCTTGGCGGAGTCTGTTGAAGTCAAGAGGTCCTGGCTGCAGGTTGACATCTTCCCCCGGGAGACGCACAAAGAAGCTCGCACAAAAGCGACGAGAATGGTGCTAAGAGCAAGACAATGCCGCTCCATCATACGTGATATATATCTCGGCATTCACGCTGCCCCGCCAAAAAGATGAGGGATCGACGGGGCCGTTTTTACCTTCAATGCTCTTTTTTTTAATTTCGCGAATCAGTTCTTGCAAAATTTGTCCAGCCGCTACTGCTGTAAACTGCCTCAATTTACAGACACTGCCTCGGAGGCAACGTATCACGCACAGCGCACACAGTCAGAAAAATTACTTACCCAGCTTCTCCGATTTTTGTCATCCCTACCTGCGAAATCACTCGCTGGTGATGGACAGTCGCATGACAAATAGCTGAGCCTTTGTTGCGGTCAGCCGCACTCAGATGTGGTAACCGATATCTCGAAGATATCGATATCGTGATGCATCGATTCATAGAAGGGCCTGCGTTGGCGACAATGTCTCTCTTTCAGCGACTAGCGATGCTGATAAAATGCGCCTGGCATTCAGAAAAAAAGCCCCGGCAAAAACGGCATGATCATCCAGGCGCTTTGAACATCGACAAGTCGACCACGGCCTTGCCGGCCTTGCTTAGGACACGTGAACTCGCACTAATCAGCAGATAACTGTCGCAATGCACCACTATCACTGCAAAGTGGCTCGCCAGTCTTCCTAGTGGAGCTCCGCGTTTGCATCGAGAGGGCCACTCGTGGTGGCCGAAACTTTTATTTTTTTTACGTCTTTGCCATAATGGTGCACGAAACACCGCACAGCAGCCAGAGAAGACATATAGCGGGCAGAAGAAAATTTGCACACATGTCGAAGATTGTACACCGTGCTGGAGGGACCGGTGGCGTCGTGCCGGTCGTGCTACAGTTCACTTGCGTTACACACACACACACACACACACACACACACACACACACACACACACACACACACACACACACAGAGCACACATGTGCCGCTCGCTGACGCTGCCGGGGTGTGTGCGGTGGAGAGCAACCCCGAGCATAGAAATCACGCAAGAGGAGGGGATGTGTGTGTGTGTGTGTGTGTGTGTGTGTGTGTGTGTGTGTGGTGGGGGAGGGGTGCTTTGCCCCCCTTTTGTGTCGGAGGGGCGAACAATAAGCGCGCTGCGCGTCAGGTAACGGCACAAGACTGTCGCGTGGCCGAGGGGGAAGGGGTGGGGGAGGTGGGAGGGGGGGGGGGGGGGGGCTGGAGGCTGGAGCGTCACGTGTGAAGACGCTATGGGAACCGGCGGGCCGCCGCGGGGCCGCCGTTTCGGCATTGTGCCACGGGGATTTCGGATCGACGGCCCTAAGGTGCCCTACGCGGCGAGGCAGGAGGAGCAGGAGGAGGAGGAGGAGGAGGAGGAGCAGAGAGATGATGTCAGGTCACCGTCCGTCAGCATTGGGGAAGTCAGAAGGAGGCGCGGGAACGGCCGCCAAGTCATGCAGTGCTGCCCTAAAGAGGTGACACACACGCATACACACACACACGCACGCGCACACACACAAAACACACACACACACACACACGCCACCGAATGGACTGAAATACAGTCGATTTCCAAAATAGTGCTGACATGTTGCATCAATCTCGACAGTACCTGACAACAAACGCTAATGAATCTCATGTAGTTCTATACCAGGCAGCTGGACTATACACTTGTTTTCCAGTGCACCCCTCGTGAAAGTCGCCCCAGACAAAAACACACCCCCTACCACGCGCGCGAGCACACTGCGCAGAGAGACAAGTTGGCAAGTTTCGTTTCCCCGGCACCTCATTTGGTGGCGCCCCCTCGCCGAGCGACGCGGAGCGAGGTGTGCACGGAGCGTTGCCGAGGGGGGTGCAAGGGTGGCTGGCGGCCAGGCCGGGCAGGCGCGCTGGCAGGCAGTGGGGTAGGTTTGGCTGGGCTGGGGTTGTCGGATTGGAGGGACGGCTGCCGCGTTGCCTTGCCTTGCCACGGCACACACGTGCCAGGCTCGCCGGCCTTCAAAACCGCGCCGAGTTTGGCGTTTCTCTCGTAAAAAGCGGACATTGTGCTTGGATTTACTCCACGAACGGACTGAGCGCACAGTGCATTTGCCAGACGGCTAAAACTCTAGACGCGTTTTCAGCTTCAGAGTCGCTACGGGAATCGAAATGAACGTGTGACCCCCACCAATGGATTCCTCGTTCGGAGAGCAATCCATTGGTGGAGTCGCACGTTCGGTTCGAGTCCTGTTTTGCGACTCAACAGCTCAAAACGCGTCTAGAGTTTCGGCCGCGGCTTCTTCTGGCCCACTGCGTTTAGGGATTGGCGCGCCGTGCGAGATGAAAGCCGCAGCCAAGATGAGATAGCAAAGTGATTTCTAGGAAGCAATGCTAGGAAGTCTCTCCGCACGGCGACGCGCCGCTAGGCACGCGCCGCGCCCTGTCAGCGTGGAGGTATGCGTCACGCTCCCCTCTCTCTCCCTCTCGTTGTTTCCTGCCATCCGGTCGCGTGGTCGTCCACGCGCTGTGCTACCCCTTCATCACTTTCGGGGAGTCTCTCTCCCCCCCCCCCCCTCTCTCTCTCCCCCCCCCTCTCTCTCTCTATCTCTCTCTCTCTCTCTCTCTCTCTCTCTCTCTCTCTCTCTCTCTCTCTCTCTCTCTCTCTCCCTCCCTCCTAGCATGCAGTTTGGTCCTGTTGCATTTGCCTATTGTTCAAAACTAAAACACGAGGTACTCTCGTTTGCTCTGGACTTTGGCAGGGATCGGACCTCGTTCCTGCAACTGCAGTGACTGTCCATAATCGACGCTTAAATGATTAAACTTGTAGATTGTGGCCAGTCTCGGAAAGAGCGACACTGAGTCATCCTGAGAGGCCTGCCGAGGTGATCCTGGATATCTTTCCACTTGTGCATACCCAGAGAAAGGCTTACGAAAAGGCGGAGAGAGAGTGGCCGTTTCAAACCACCCCTTCCTTCTTTATGCTTTCACTAAGCGACTGCGGGGTCGCACAGTGGGCCAGAAGACCGGTGGAGGCGGACAAAACTCTAGACGCGTTTTGAGCTCCAGAGTCGCTAAACAGGCCTCGAACCGAACGTGTGACCCCACCAATAGATTCCTCGTTCGGAGAGGAGTCCATTGGTGGGGTCACAGGTTCGGTTCGAGTCCCATTTAGCGACTCTGGAGCTCAAAACGCGTCTAGAGTGTTGCCGACTTCACCGGTCTTCTGGCCCACTGTGAGTCGCCGCGCCTCGGCATTCCTGTTGTCAACTTCAAAAGGCAAGGCAACCCCGTCCCCTCCAGTCCGCCGGCAAGACGTTGGGGGATGAAGGCAGACCGTTGGAGTCTTGTGCAGCACAATCTCAATCAACGGAGCGAGGGTTCTCATTTGCACACACGCATGCACAGCCAGGTAGCCGAGGCCCGGGTCGCCTCGGCTCCACTTTTTAGGACGCTTTCCCCTGCGATGGCCTTTGTGCGTTTATTTTTTATATCGAAGCCGTCTAAAAATTGCGTGAACATTTTTCAGCAAGGGGAGCTTTGTGAGGAAGCTTAGGGCGCGAGTGATGTATGCTTCACCGAGTCGAGCCGTTACTCGGTGAGCCGTCTTTGAACCTAGGCAGGTCGAATATCCAAGTCGCCCGGCGCAGGAGGTGGTCAAAGTTCTCGACGCGTTTCGAGCTCCAGAGTCGCTAAATGGGACTCGAACCGAACGTGTGACCCTACCAATGGATTGCACTCCGAACGAGGAATCCATTGGTGGGGTCACACGTTCGGTTCGAGGCCGGTTTAGCGACTCTGGAGCTCAAAATGCGTCTAGAGTTTTGGCGGCCTGCGCCAGTCTTCTGGCTCACTGTGGCCCGCCGAAAAAAGGGTCCAAATGACGGCGCCTTCATCTCCCGGGGTAATGTCGACCGATTCGGAGCGTGTTCGGCCGGATCGGGCATTACACGTGATTCCAAGTAGCCGCTCCAGTTGTTGATTGCCTGGTGGCCACGCGATCGAAGCCATCCCGTCAATGATAGTGCCACGCCGGTAATTTGACCGTCCCCCCCGCGCTGCCGCGCTGGCAAAAGTCGCCCATTCAGCAGTGGACCAGCAGGGACCCCGGCGGCGTAAGGCGAGCCCTTTTCATTAGGGGGGTTTCAGCGAAGGGTTCTGCAGGGCCTGATGATAGCCATCGGCCTGGCCAGCGGACGGCTGATTGGGGAAGGCAAGGCACAGTGGTCCAGAAGATCGGGGGAGGCGGCTAAAGTACTAGAAGGGTTTTGAGCTCCAGTGTCGCTAAATTCGACTCGTACCGAACATGTGACCCCACCAATGGACTCCTCGTTCGGAGAGCAATCCATTGGTGGGGTCACACGTTCGGTTCGAGTCGCATTTGGCGACTCTGGAGCTCAAAACGCGTCTGGAGTTTTGGCCGCCTCCGCCGGTCTTCTGGCCCAC